CCAAGCAAAATGGTATTCTTGGAAACGAGTAGCCACCTATTATATATATGATAATGATGATGGATGACCACTCGAGTATGTTCGTTTACTAGAGTAGCTAGCCAATCCCTGTTGCAGATGCCTGTTCGGTCACATTTGTGTTTGTTCAACACCCACTATGATGAGTGGAACTTAATTTACAGTTTCTGTATGAGAGAGATCGCATTCTATTGCAGCTCTGTCCTGTCTCTCCGGTGGTTCTAGCCGAAAAGTAAATCACCTGGTCCTCCCCCGGTGAACTGAAGGAACCACCACTATCCGCCACGTTGTGAATTTTTGATCTGAACAGCAGTATCTCGATCCTTCAGAACGATCCGGAGGTAGGATGAATTAAATGGCTGGGTATTACGATGAAAGGAACTCACCATTTATGCAAAAAAAAAAGTTTCTTGTCGTAGCCGCAAAGACATAAAAAAGAAAAAATAAGCAACTCTTTCGGTCCCTGTACAAAGAGCCCTTTTTAGGCCACTGTTTTTATGTCAATACCGAAGAATTTACACGAGTACAAAATGTCGAAACGAGGTTCACTTGTTTCGGGTCGGAAGTGACAGAGAGAGGGAGTAGGAAAATTTCTGCCTAAAAAATTTCGGCTGATCGAAGGGAATTAATTCGTGGATCTTCGTCTGTCCCCTACGATATAGCAGTCTTCTTTCTCACAGCTTTGTTGACGAAGTTATCTGGATTCGTACGGGTTCTATTTCTATCTCGTGGTTCGGATCGGTCTTCTTGACGCAGGACAACCAACAGACCAGACCAGCAAATTCCAACAAGTCGTCTCTTCCGCGTTCTGCCGCGTTCTGATCTGACTAACTCAAGCGTGCGGGCAGCTTATATAGTGAGAGGCGGAATTAAACCATCTTTAGGCACCGCTCCCGAATTTTAATATGCAAATCGCCTTTGACCACCATGCAAGCTTTTCCGGTCCCTGGAACTCCGCGGGAAGCTAGTTTTCAAGAGGTACTAAAATCGGATTCGGACCTCCTGCTGGGTCTTCCGCAGACAACGTATACTTAAGTTTTGCCAAAACCACTTATCCCGTCTGGTTGAATTCCGCCATTCAGACCACCAAAAAGTTCAATTCGCCATTTATCACAAACTTTACTTTAACGAACTCGTCTCTTAATTACTCTGGAATTATTACATTTAATTAACTAATAACTCAACCCCAGAAACAATTATTTAGAGAAAAAACAAGAGAAAGAAAATAAAGTTATTTCTGGAATTACTCCGGAATCCCTTCTACCCAAGTAATTAGCTCCTTCATCCTAATTCTTTAGCATTGTTGATTACTGAATCCACCTGGGGTCTCTCTCTCTCTCTATGTCACAATATTCAGTTGGAGATCATTGTGAAAAAGGAGAAACAATCTTCAAAATTCTTTCATCTGCCTTCATAGACTTCTTCAATCTAGGGGGAGTGGGATGACGTCCAATTAATTTCTCGAAAATGCATCTCAGATTCTTTGCACCTTTTGCAGCCCCGTAAGGGATTTCCATATTGTGGAGTGCTCCTTCTCCAGCTCTGTGTGCAGTTTTCTATTTGCTTCAACATGGTTATTTGTCTAACCCCGAAAATGAAACACCTGTCAGCCAAATAGGCTGTTGTAAGTAATAAATCACTAATACAAAAAGTCAAACTTTCAAAATCTCTACGACTCAAAGCCGATGTAAGAGCTGTGCAATAGGACAGCCAACGCCGGTTTGAAGCTATGAATTCGACGCCAGCGATGAGTTGCACTCGCGCTGAGTAGAGTGTTGGTGATTTGCCCTGGAGTTGTCACGAAGATGAGTTGGTGGTGTTGAGTCGCCGATGATCAAATGTCCCATCCCGATCATAAAGTGGTGGGAAAGCCGAGCTACCAGATCATGACCTATAATATTGCTGATTCCTTTGAAATGAATCTAGGTAAATTGCAGAAACATTCTAAGCATGGATGAATGGTAGACATAGATACGTATGATAGATTCTGGAGAGAAAAATTGTTTCACATGACAAAGGGAACCAAATTTCTTAGCAGTTGATCTAGCAATGGATAGTTTTTCCACTTGAAGTCAGCTGAGAACGTTAGCCCAAGAAGGTGTAATGAGTCACTGTCTGGAAGGATAGCATCAGCCATGCTGATGGAAGGCATAGAGGGGTCTTTCAGATGATTAATGGAAGCAAGTTAACTTTTTGAGGGGTTAGAATTATCAAGACATCCTTTGCCCCAATTAACAGCAGACTCCAGGTTGTTTTGGACATCGGCTTCCAATTTGACCTTATGGAACTGATTAAACTTATTATCAAGAAAGGAGTAAATGGTTGTATCATCAGCGTAGATACCAAAGATCTGATGCCATCGGGAAGGTCATTAATGAAAATTAAAAACAATTATGAAGTTTTAATATCAGTCAGTTATTTTTCTAATTTAGCGCTTCAAACAAAAAAATAAGCATCTGTTATAATAACACAAATCCTCGACTTATGAAATAATTTTAAAGTAATTCAGCAGACGATGTTATCTTATTTATGGTAACAAGATTTTTGGCGATTGCCTTTAATTAGTTTCCGTCGTTTGATACTGTACGTCTGAAAAATGTTGAATTTAACACGGTCGTCATCGCTTCTCGGCCTTTCTGGGATCGGGCAGGTTCACAAATATTAACTCTTCACCCCAGGCAGTAATTCTCCTTCGGGATGGGGCTGGGTTTATTGCCTGGCGTTAGCAAAAAGAGGACGTGCCTAGGTGGTTAGGGTCATTTTTCCACAGTATTGCCGGTAAACCAACTCTAAACCTCGAGCTTGTGTCACATTCTGTAGCGACATGGACAGGTTGAAAAATAAACATTTTTTTGTCGGTCTTTTGACTGGGATCAAAGTGTAGTATATAATGCCTTCTTAGCGATAAACTACAGTTCATCTCTCAACTGTGACTCTGTCTTTGGACAGAGCTCAACTCAGTTGTGTCTCAGAGCGCAAATGAAAATATTATTTGATCGTTGCCGGATCGCGGGAAACAGATGCCAGTACCTCCCTCATTATAGTAAAGAGCGAGAATCGGTAATATTACCGATGCCAGTGCAACCGACCTTTGTGGGGGATGGGCTGTTTTTGGACCTGGCCCGAGTGTACACGCTTGGGCTCTCCATATTAAACTCACCTTCTATCATATTCTGCTAACATGGGGCGGCTAGAAAATACAATCGCTTCTCGGCCTTTGTGCTAAGATTCGATCATGGCTACGCCTAGCTTGGACCTGCTCTGGTCTGGACCAGCTATGACAAGCCAAGACCAGCTCTGACCAGCTTAGACCATCGGCCTGAGTGAAAACACTCGGGTCCCCACGTTAAAAACCGACCTTGTGTCACAACGTGACTCAGTGTGTGTGTGTGTGTGTGGGGGGGGTTAAGTAAATAAACGGCCTTTTTGCTAAGATCAAAGTTTAGTATCTGTTCTTAGCTTTATCTGATTCTCTCTCTTACCTTCTTTCTTTCATTTTCTCACTGAAATCAAGTAGCGTCTTTCCCTCTCTTTCGACGCGATCAAAATAGTCCATTATTTATTTGTCATTGGCAAGGAGTAATGGTCGTGCGAACTAACTAAGGGGAGAAAAATAGAATCATAATAGGATGGACGGGCGTTGATGTTAAAAAAATAAAAATTTACGTACAAAAAGCACAAAGAAGGTTATTCAACTCAATATTTTTTTTATTTTATTCAAGAATTGTGTACAAGGAAATTCAAAACGTGTTAGGAAGAATATATATATATGTGTGTGTGTGTATTCTTAATTTATTCGAAAATCATAACAAGTATGTTATAAAATTACAAAAATAGCCATTTTTGTCGATCTATTGTAGATATTTTAATCACATTGTTGCATTTATGCAACAATGCAATTGTTACCATTTCTGGTACGTCTATATACAGTGTAACCCGGATATAAGAGAAACCCGGATATAAGAGAGATTGTCTCTGGTCCCAAATTAGAGCCTGTGTTAATGTATATAAAATAGACCAAACCCGGATATAAGAGAAACCCGGATATAAGAGACTTCTTCTCCGGTCTCTTATATCCGGGTTACACTGTACTTAAATTTTTGTTGTTGTTGTTGTTATTATTATTATTATTATTAATGATGATGATGATGATGATGATGACGCCTGTTGATAACATTTCATCATCAAGTAAGGATGATACTGGTTCACCGGAATGCCGTTGCTCATTTCTTCGCGTGTCTGTTTAATCACCTGTTAAATTTATCAAGCCAGAAACAGTTCGTCATCTTAGAGAGAGGCAGAAAGAAACGGCACGGGAGAGAATGAGTTGGGGGTAGAAATAAGTTTTTATTTGGAAGATTAGTTGGCAATGTAGCGTTTACTATCTGACGAAAGCCAGGATATGCTACAGGGAGGAAAGAAAGATTGCAGTTGAATAGACGGGCTAAAATGCAACGGCATTTCGTTCACGAAATGAGCAAGCGCCAATGTGGGCGATCTTCAACTCCAAGTGTCATGGTGGACGCTTTTTCTCATCTCGTCTAGAAAACTTTATTCACTAGCCTTTGCGCTTGAAACATCGACAGCAGCGTTGGATGACAACTGGATACACGGAAAACAAATCACTGCCACGCCCGTGTTACACTTTAATTTTAATCTGGTACTTTCTGGAGAATATATATGTGAAATTTGGCAAATAATTATACATATTTTATACGTATATATTGTTTTTATGGCAAACCTTTAGCGAAGTGGGGAGTTTCTGCTAAGTCTTATGCCAGTGTTTCTCAACCGGTGTGCCCGGGCGCACTTACCATAAAAGGTAGCCATGTGCGCCCCAATTTAATAGTAGAGTAATTTATGAATTATTTTTATATTTTAAAAAATATTTTTCAAAAGCTAGAGACATCAAACATGGCTTCCATGTCTAAAACAAGTATTTGCTATTTGATATTTTAAATTGGCTGCTAAATTCCTTAATCTTAAAAAAGAGACTGAGATAGATAGATAGATAGATAGATAGATAGATAGAAAGAAAGAATATTTACATTGTTTGGACTGTTGTCCTCATCTTTATTGCCATATTCACGAAGTTTCGGTCGCTGTACGCTCTTCTTCAGTTGACTGGAATTTTGATCCGAACCCTTTATTTCGTCTACCGAGGTGGATTGTAGCAGTGGTATTTCGTTTATACTTTTATAATATTGAGTCAGATAAGTGGTTCTGCTATATATTTCGCCAGCTTGGCTGTTTCAATATATTCAAGGGACACAACTCATGAACATTAAAGATTTCCTATTATAGAAGGAATGGTTAATCCTTCTCTTTTTACTTTTCTCAAGGGATTTAAATCAGTCATTATCGACCCCTCTTTTTTAAAAAGAAAGGCAAATTCTTCATAAATCTCTTTAAATAAAAACTATACAGCTCATCCTCTTTGGGGATGCTAGACCAAAAATTACAAGCATTAAATTCTTCTTTGCCAAATGACATCAAGCACAGGTTTCGCGCAAAGCATACTTAAATATATTTGTAACGTTAAAATATATTATCTCAAAATTTGTGAGTGTGTTTAAATCAGCATCAGGGCACACTAATGCCACACGAAAGGAAGCCATGTGTGCCCCAATTTAAAAGAAGAGTAATTTATGGATTATTTTTATATTTAAAAATCTTCATTTTTAAAAAAGCTAGAAACACCAAACACATGGCTTCCATGTCTAAAGTCTTTGTTATTTGATATTTTAAACTGACTGCTAAATTCTTTAATCTCCAAGAAAGAATGGATAATCATTTCCTTTTTACCTTCATCGGGGGATTTGCATCAATCATTATCGTCCTCTCTAAGAACAAAAATAGCAGATTCTTCCTAAGTCCCTTTAAATTAAAATTGTACCGCTAATCCTCTTTGGGAATGCTAAACCAAAAATGAAAACCATTAAAAGTTATTTTGTTCTTTGCCAAAGAAAATATACTTAAATATACAATATAATGTAAAAATGAATGCTTATGTCAGGAGTCTTCTTCATTATTTTCTAGTTTTCAAATTTTATGACTAATTTTTCCTTATGAAAATTAAAAGTGCACCACAAAGTTTTAGTTATTCTGCAAGTGCACCCTGAAGTAAAAAAAGGCCGAGAAACACTGCCTTAGTTTAATTTTGCTTCAAAGACAGTGGCCCGAGAAGCAAACGAATTTTGAATAAAAGTTTGTTTAAAGTTATCCAAAAAAAAAGCAAACATACCAACAGCAAAAACATCTTTGCTGACCAGTAAAGAACGTAACTCATTCGAAAAAAATGCTTTCATCATTTATTTATTATGATGGTTGCAAATATATAATCATTGTTACGAATCTATGTATTGCTGTTGGTATCCAGGAACGTCCAACCGGCAGCCTCTGGGCTACACTGTAGACAACTTAATATTTTCATGCGGCTCCCCCTTCAACCGAATATCTTTAGATATATATTCATTTACTTTAGTAGCGTATGTCGAGAAAATTATTCTCAGGTTGTGCTAGTAGATTCACTTCCCCATTGCACGAAAAGGGGAAGGGGGCAAAGACCGTTGCTGAGACACACCGTCTGGTGCATGAGACAAGAGCCAGAGTTAAATAAAAATTAAAATCTCATCTAGAAAACAGTTATCCATGTAGAGTAGTACATACTGCGGTGAACAATTCTTTACGGGTATGAAAAACATGAAAACTGCTGTAAGAAATACGTTGAGTGATTCTCATTTAACTAACATTCTTAGAAGAAAGACTAGTAACCTAAAAACGTAATGGATAGCGACTCGGGTTGAGGAATTGGAGAGCCGAGTTCGAATTCCAGTCGGATCCGTTACATTCACTTATGTGCTAATACCTTTGGGAAAGGTATTAATCCTTTTCATCTCCTCCCAGCTATGGGTTGAATAGCAGAACAAACCGGGTTCTGTAACCTTGGATGGCAACTGGTCTACCGCAGAAATAAATGGTAACCTACTGCGGGAAAAAATCTGCCTAGTTAGTGATGTATCGAAAGATACATGATCGCCTAAGCGTGTATCACGTATGGAACATGACTGACTGGCCATAAAAACAGATATTGACAATATTATTAAAGGAAAGCAATGTCAAAAATCCTATTGAATTTACTTTATTTTGTGTATGTATAATTTTTTTTTTACTCTCAGTATTTTTGCAATTATATATGTATATCCGTTTTTAAAATTTGATATTCACAAAGTTTTGAACTTTTTAAATAAATTAATTAAATTTGTGGCCAGATGAATATAACTAAATTTCTAATTTGACCCATTAGAAACAGTTTAAGTCAAATACCAGGTTTGTGGGGAAAGAAAAAAAAATCAGAGAGAGAGAGAGAGAGAGAGAGAGAGAGAGAGTAACGGGAAAGCAAACTCGCTTTGATATTATTATTATTACGATCTATTTAGCAAAAGACCAAACATTTAAATATTAACCTGAATCATAAGTAATTTCCGTTTTGGGAACGAATTATAAAAGAAAAAGTATCTAATATCCTAACTACTAACATTACGTGTCAATTAAGAACAAATTTGGTGGTTAGCATCAGCCATACAGATGGAAGATAAAAAGAGTTCATTCTGGGATTAAAAGAGAAGATTTTCGTTTTGGAGTCGTTAAAATTTACAAGCCAGTCCTTCTCGCAGTTAAAAGAATATAGATCATTTTTAGATCAGCTGCAAATAGAATAGATTTTGAGTACACTAACATACAGTAGGGGCAGCGTACACAGTGAATTAAAGAGAAACTATTATTCCCTTCTGAGAAAATCGATACTACTAGAATACCAGCAAAAACTTAACCTACCCGCCATATTCATATGATCTTGCAGTAAACGGTTATTACATTTTCTTCACCCTTTTCGCAAAGACACTTCTTTTTCTCTGCACAAAAAATTGCCCATAGAATAAAAAAAAAAAAATTAAAAAAAATTATTTCGTTTTGTTTTACTGTCTTGTTTGTCCATTTTCTCAACCAATTTAACAGTTGTAATTTTTGTTCGTCAACGCACGACATTTTCTGAAATTCAAACGATGACTGTAGCGTTTAATACGCGTTGTGTAATGAAACACGTATAGTCTCCTGAAATAAAGTCCACTACAAACATGGCGGGCTGAAGATGAGTTCCACCAAAAGAAATGTAAAAGAAAACAACCAAGACCGAATATATATATATATATATATATATATATATATATATATAAATAAAACAGTTATATGTGTATTAATAAACAAACGGATACAAATTACAAAAACAATGTTTATGTGTAAAGTTTGTGTTCCAAGAAATGCGTGAGTGAATGTCCGTACGTACGTGTGTGTGTGTGTGTGTTGCAATGTTCATGGCGTTTTCCCAAAGTGGGAACGCGTATCTTCTGCGAGAGCTTTACATGGTCGCAGTTCGCTGAAAATGAAAGAGAGAGAGAGAGAAAGTGTTTTCTCAAGTATATAGAGCTTAAGATTAGCTCCCCCAAGTGGTGGAGTCAGAATTTAGGAGGAGATAACTCCGATAACTTCTGAATTAAAATTTTGTCGAAAACCTTTTTACATAAAAAGATGCGAAATTTTACTCAAAAGGTATCCAAGAAATGCCGGATAAGTGGTAACAATTCATTGCATTTAATATAATTAAATAAAATGTAATGTTTATTTTGTTAAGAAATTAGCAAATAAAACGAGAGATAATTTATGAATATTTGTTGCTTCTTGTCTCTCACTCTTTAATTTAACCAACTAAGTTCAACTTCATTTTTTTTTTAACAGAGTCCTTGAAATTTTCTCGACGCAAAGTTTCCGAGCGCATAAAAATTTTATCTCGTTTTGTTCCCTCTCTTGTCTGTCCATTTTTCTCAACTATTTCAACAGTTTTAGATTTTGTTCGTCAACACACGAGGACTTCTCAAATTCAAACGATCACCCACTACCAGTTCGTCGAAAACCTTTGCATATCAAAAATCTGTGAAATTTTACTCAAAAGTTATCGAAGAGCTGCCTGATAACAGTGACAGCCTGATAATATGTGGCAACAAGTCATTGCAAGTAAAATTGAATATATAATTGAAGAAAATGTCATTGTACTTCAGTTTTAAAAAATACGTTTGTTATTGAAAGACGGAATTTTTTTGTGACTTAACATCAATAAAAAATAAGGATGTCTAAAAATATGTACTTACTTTTTAAATGAAGATAAATGCAGTGGAGTTAATAGTTAAAATTAAGAAATGTTAATATTTACTTACAAAGACGATTAACTGTTTAAATTAAATATTAAATGAAATTAAATACATGTTTATAAATATTAAAACTAAACGACGAAGTCAAAAAGTGAGTATATTTTTGGACATCTTGTATATACAAGAAAACATGTAAAGATAAGCAATAATTTTTTCCCCGGGTCGGTTGTACATTTTAGAATCGTATCAGCAGTCTTATGACTATGGCGTTGATTACTACACTTTTTAAATTCTTCGGATATGTAAATCAGTCAATCTCTCACAGGCAAATATATGTTACTACATCACCAATAAAAGTACTGATTTTATATCTCTTGTAGATCTTACGCTTTTTTCTATAGTGTTACGTTTTCCGCGTTTCTTTGCTTACATTCAAACACTGTTCTCTTAAATGTAACATTTATATACGAAATCAAGCTCTAGGCTGGATGCTGTTGGACAGCAGGAAATTTGCGTGTGGATGTGCAGATGGTGTAAAAGTTAGTGGTTTGGAACGAGAAGAAACCGGCATGACGAGTTCAAATTCCTGTCGAGATGGTTAGATTAAAACCTACCTAGTGACCTTCAGTAAACGGATAGCGGACAAAGCTTTCGAAGAGAAAACAAAAGCAAAATAAATTAAGAGCTGCAAAGGACGGGAAACTGGATAGCCATAAATGGACACGGCACATAGAAGAAGTGTCTATGGTGAGGCACATTTACTTTTTAATACACTCTTGTGCAAATTAATTGAAACAACCGCTTTATTTTCCTTTCTTTCATCATACGGTCAGTTTTAGACCCACTGGAGTGACAGGGTGTAATCAATTTTTTTTTCGTCAGATTAGGTCATTTACAAGGATGTGCAGTAATATCATTTGCAGTGGTGTGCAGTGATATGAATCACTTGTCAGGGTGTATGATGAAATTTGTTTGGCTTTGAAAAATATTGCGTCAGATCCTTATCACGCAAAGACACTATTGTCTCGACTGTCGATTAGTTGTCCTACGACCATTGTCTACAATGGACGTTACTCCAAGGAAGCGTACGAAAATTGTAATGCTGCACGGACTCACTGGCAAGCTTTACCAGTGAGAAAATCAAATTACTATAGATTGGCTCGTAAACTGTCCTGATTTAAATCCAATCGAGAATCTGTGGTCAATCTGCAAGGAACGATTTTGTGGAATAGACATACGAAGTACTAACATGTGCACTTGGTCAGGTTTCATTGGAAAAATTGGAAAAAAAAGTAAATAACAGAATCATTCGCTTTGTTTCAATTAATTTACACAAGGTTGTATATTGGGGAGGTGCTGTCTGTAGAGTAAATCTGTGAAATATGACAAGTTGCCAGATATCTAACGTTTTGACTGCAAACAAAGTCTCCTGTTATGATCGAGAATGTTTTAGCGAAATGGTGAGTTTGTTTGGATGGCGGATTCCAGGCACTTAGACCAGTGTCGGATATGTAAAACACTGAAGCTATGAAAGAATAGGTGTTAAGCAATCACATGTGGAATAGTTGTATTTTCAATATCCGGTTTCAAAATATTCAGCTTGAAAAAGAAAAAAAAAGATAACAAAATAAAATTAATTAACGATGTTTAATCTCTTCAATGGATTTCGTTGCTGAGATGATAGAAACATGCATAAAAATTAATGAAATAATTAAAACAAGTCATATTTTTAAAACAAAGTTTATTAACTTTTATTGCTATACAAGAGCCAAACTTTTTGTTGTTATATTAATAAATAAGTCAAAGAATAAAACAGCAATTATTTGCGCATTAATAATTATTTTTTATTTCTTGTTAATGCACTTGATTCAGTGGCGAATCACATGAGCCAAATCTTCCAAAGTGAAATTTTTTTATCATATTCATTTAATACATATGCGTCGGTTGTTGTAGACTTATTGATGATTTCACACAAATATTCAATAAGTCAATAAATTTGCATATATATTGTCAAAATTTGCTATATTTTATAAATATAGCAAATACATATGAATTAAAACTACAAAATGAATTCATTATTCTTAGCATAAATTTTATTCCAGTTATTTTAAATCGAGCACTATTTTATCATTACTACTAGCACTCACTCTTTTTGTTATATATATATATATATATATATATATATATATATATATATATATATATATATTATAGGTAAATAGCAGGACAGACTCCGGTCTATAGCCTTGGTTGGCAACTGGTCTAAGAGAAGGACAACACTGAATTCAAAACCTGGGCATCTTGTGGCACGTGGTGCACCAGGTCTATGTATTTGGTTCTGCACAAAACATCCACCACTATAATCAAGTTATATGTGCAATTATATGGCTGTCGGTTCCTAGGAACTGAGTTGCCTGACCCTCATACGTCGTATAAGACTTCCTGGTAGGCGTGGGTCAACAGCATCCGTCGATCAACGCCGGGAGAGTTCAGGATTTTATATATTATATATATACTACATGTGTATGTGTATGTATGTATGTATTACTATACGTACCTACGTTTTGGCGTGCGACTATAGTTTCGCTGGGTGGTGTTTACAGTTCATCGGGCACAGGAGCTATGTTGCCGGTAGTCGCACTCCAAAACGTAGATACGCGTATATGTACCAAATATTACATACCCTTTGTTCTCTATAACCGCATTGACCACTATTACATCCCATGCATAAATTTAACGATTATCTATTTGCTTGCCTGCGTATGCACATCAGCACACGAGTGCTTATACTTGGCCGTTTCATTTATCCACTCTACAGCTACACACACACACACACATATATATATATAAAGTAACGAAAATCTTGATAATCTGAAGCAACACCCTGTATGTCACCTTATATGAGCTTAATACTGCCCTTCAAAAGTGTAAATTTTAAATTCATTTTTCCCCTTTGAAAGTGAAGTCTGATGATTCAGAGAAAAATAAAATCTCTGAAATAATTATAACAATGGAACCTTAAAGTGGTCTGTATTTTTGTTGTTTTTTTTTTCTTTAATTTAAATTTTATATATAGTATTGTTAAAAGATTGAAAACTACACCGTTAACACGACCCGTGATTCAACCTTACGGCCTCATCAGAAGTGATTATATATATATATATATATATATATATATATATATATATATATATATACACACACACACACACACACACACATATATATATATAAATATAGATAACTAGACTCGTTTCGAAAAACCGTCGAATTTTCGATTTGCTAATCAAATCAATCTCGAGGGAAAAAAAAAGGTTTAAAAAAAGAAAGAGCTACAAACATGGACTTCTGCCGACAAAAAAATCGCACAAATGCAGGTTTGAAGCCCAAAGAAAAAAACCCTGATACGAGTAACAACTAACTAACAAAAGAGCTCAATACAACCGTAGAGCAGACCTAGATACACCTAGTGAGCCAGACAAACCTACCTAGGTTTCACCTAAACGGATCGTCAGGTGAAACCTAGGTAGGTTTGTCTGGCTCACTAGGTGTACCTACCTATATATATATAGATATATATATATATATATATATATATATGTGTGTGTGTGTGTGTGTGTGTGTGTGTTCAAACAGGTTAAGACAGCTTTCTTGTTAGTGTTTTCTCCCTGTAGTGAAGCCACCTTAACAACGTGAAACAGGTTCTCTCTCAGACCTACAGAATCCTTGTGTGTATGCTTAGGTGTGTGTAGTTATGTATGATATGAAACAATACTTACTAGGAAGGCAGTCTGGCTGGAAAACGGGTTATATTTTGCTGAAACAATCCGAATAAAAAAATTTTGAAATGAAAAAAAAAATGTATATATAAACTCATGTATATTTTAACAATAATTAAATTAATGAAATTCGTGAGAAAAAAAAAAAAAAAAAAAGAAAAAAAGTGGGTTAGAACAAGATTCGATCTCATTTTTGTCCCCTCCCCCAGGAACTTTCTATTCCGTGTAGGACGACATTAACATTCTATAAATCAAGAAAAGTTGAAGGGACTTATCTAGTTAGCCAAAAGCTTCGCGTCGACAGGCTAATCAGATGACAAACTACATCAGGCAGCAAAGCCACTGATCAGGAGGTTTTGAGGAGCGTAGAACCACCTCTTAATTGCTGGTGTTCACAGGTCAATCCCTAGTTGGCAGCATCCCTTAGAGTCCCACCTATGGGTAAAATAGTGAAACCCCCAAGCAAAAACAAACTAAAATACTATGAAAGTATAAAAAATGCATTTTTTATAGTAAAAAAATACCAACAATATATTTTCATAGCAAGAAAAAAAAAAAAAAGAAAAGTAATATTTTTTTGTAAATGAAATTACTAATGTTACCAAGAAAATTAAATTTCTACCTTAACTGACGTGACACACGCTTAACCGATCATGTATCTTTCGATACATGACTGACGAGGCAGATTTTTTCCCTAAGTAGGTTGCCATTTATTTCTGGAGTAGACCAGTTACCATCCAAGGCTCTAGATCCCGGTTTGTTCTGCTATTTACCCATATCTGGGGGTAGACAAGAGGATTTATACCTTTCCCGAGGGTATTAGCAGGTAAGTGAATGTAATGGATTCGACTGGAATTTGAACTCGACTGATTCCTCAATATGGAGATCCGAGTTCGAATTCCAGTCGAATCCATTAAAGAGTTAATATGCTGTTAAACAAACAACCAGTGGCTAATCAGGACACGATCTTTGATAAATCTTAATATCATAGTTAATAAATTAATAAATTATTGTGCAGTGGATATGTTTTTATTATTCTGTTTTCCACGACTGTTTTTGTTCAGAATGCTGACGATATCGTAAAACGTAATGCAAGTTCGAATCTCTTTCTCAAATTACAATAATTTGCTTGTTTTAAAAATGGAATAAAAAGTAATTTTAATGAAACGATCAGAAGTGGCTTGAAAAATAATTCAGAATTTACAGACAATTTGGGAAAAAAAAAGCGGATGAAATAAGAGAACATGATTTTTAAAGAGAAAGAAGGAAGAGATATAAAGTGTCCGTAGACAGAAGAAAAAAAAAAAAAGGAAATCAAAAGGAGATGGGGGGGGGGGAAGAGAGAACAGAAAGTATGAAAGAAAAAGAAGACGATAGAAGTGGAAGAGAATATAAAGATAAAAAGAAAAAGGCGATAGAGAAGAGAAGAAAAAAAAAAAAAAACAGTATACGAAAACAGAATGTGGAGGGAAAGATGGCAAAGGAAGCACAATAATGAAAAAGTAACAAAAAAGATAAAGATAAAAAAAATAAAAAGAAAAGAAGAAAGGTACATTTGCAAGAAGAGAAAAAGAGGCAAGAAAGGAAAGAAAAAAGAAAGTGAAAGAAACTAAGCGAAAACAAAATGGAGGAAAAGTTGACAAGAAAAGAAAGAAAAGAGAAAGAAAAGGAATAAAGAAAGAAAAGAGAAAGAAAAGGAATAAAGAAAGAAAAGAAAAGAAAGAAAGAGAAAAGAAAAGGAATAAAAGAAAGAAAAAAAAGAATAAAAAAGAAATAAAGAAAAGGAAAAAGAGAAAGAAAAGGAATAAAGAAAAGAAAAGAAAAGAGAAAGAAAAGTAATAAAGAAAAGAAAAAGAAAGAAAAAAAGAAAGAAAAAGAAAGAAAAGAAAAAAGAAAGAAAAAGAAAGAAAAGGAAAAAAAGAAAGAAAAGGAATAAAAGAAAGAAAAGAGAAAGAAAAGGAATAAAGAAAGAAAAAGAAAAGAAAAGAAAAGAAAAAAAAAAGAAAGAAAAGAGAAAGAAAAGGAATAAAGAAAGAAAAGAGAAAGAAAAGGAATAAAGAAAGAAAAGAGAAAGAAAAGGAATAAAGAAAGAAAAGAGAAAGAAAAGGAATAAAGAAAGAAAAGAGAAAGAAAAGGAATAAAGAAAGAAAAGAGAAAGAAAAGGAATAAAGAAAGAAAAGAGAAAGAAAAGGAATAAAGAAAGAAAAGAGAAAGAAAAGGAAAAAAAGAAAGAAAAGGAATAAAGAAAAGAAAAAAGAAAGAAAAAGGAAGAAAAAGAAAGAAAAGAATAAAGAAAGAAAAGGAAAAAAGAAAGAAAAGAGAAAGAAAAGGAATAAAGAAAGAAAAGAGAAAGAAAAAAAGAAAGAAAAGAAAAGAAAAGGAAAAAGAAAGAAAAGAGAAAGAAAAGGATAAAAGAAAGAAAAAGAGAAAGAAAAGGAATAAAGAAAGAAAAGAGAAAGAAAAGGAATAAAGAAAGAAAGAGAAAGAAAAGGAATAAAGAAAGAAAAGAAAAGAAAAGGAAAGAAAAGAAAAAAGAAAGAAAAAAGAAAGAAAAGAAAAAAGAAAGAAAAGAAAAGAAAAGAAAAAAAAAAAAAAAAAGAAAAGAAAAGGAATAAAAAAGAAAGAAAAAGAAAAGAAAAGAAAAGAAAAGAAAAGGAATAAAGAAAGAAAAGAAAAGAAAAAGGAATAAAGAAAAAAGAGAAAGAAAAGGAATAAAAGAAAAAAAAAGAAAAGGAAAAAGAAAAGAAAAGAAAAAAAAGAAAAGAAAGAAAAAAGAAAGAAAAAGAATAAAAAGAAAGAAAAGAGAAGAAAAGGAATAAAGAAAGAAAAGAGAAAGAAAAGGAATAAAGAAAGAAAAGAGAAAGAAAAGGAATAAAGAAAGAAAAGAGAAAGAAAAGGAATAAAGAAAGAAAAGAGAAAGAAAAGGAATAAAGAAAGAAAAGAGAAAGAAAAGGAATAAAGAAAGAAGAAAGAAAGAAAAAAGAAAAAGGAATAAAGAATAAAAGAAAAAAGAGAAAGAAAAGGAATAAAGAAAGAAAAAAAAAAGAAAAGAAAAAAAAGAAAGAAAAGAAAAGAAAAGAAAGAAAAGAAAGAAAAGGAATAAAGAAAGAAAAAAGAAAGAAAAAGAAAGAAAATAAAGAAAGAAAAAGAGAAAGAAAAGGAATAAAGAAAAAAAAAGAAAGAAAAGAAAGAAATGGAAAGAAAAGAAAGAAAAAAGAAAAGAAAGAAAAGAGAAAGAAAAGGAATAAAGAAAGAAAAGAGAAAGAAAAGGAATAAAGAAAGAAAAGAGAAAGAAAAGGAATAAAGAAAGAAAAGAGAAAGAAAAGGAATAAAGAAAGAAAAGAGAAAGAAAAGGAATAAAGAAAGAAAAGAGAAAGAAAAGGAATAAAGAAAGAAAAGAGAAAGAAAAGGAAAGAAAAGAAAAAAAGGAAAAGAAAGAAAAAAGAGAAAGAAAAGGAATAAAAGAAAGAAAAGAGAAAGAAAAGGAATAAAGAAAAGAAAAAAAAAGAAAAAGAAAAAAGAAAGAAAAAGAAAAAAAAGAAAAAGAGAAAGAAAAGGAATAAAGAAAGAAAAGAAAAGAAAAGGAATAAAGAAAGAAAAGAAAAAAAAGAAAAGAAAGAATAAAGAAAAGAATAAAAGAAAAGAAAGGAAGAAAGAAAAAAAAGAAAAGAATAAAGAAAAAAAAAAGAAAAGGAATAAAGAAAGAAAAGAGAAAGAAAAGGAAAAAGAATAAAGAAAGAAAAAAAAGGAATAAAGAAAGAAAAGAAAGAAAAGGAAAAAAAAGGAATAAAGAAAGAAAGAAAAGAGAAAGAAAAGGAATAAAGAAAGAAAAAAAAAAAAAGAATAAAAGAAAGAAAAGAAAAAAGAATAAAGAAAAGAAAAGAAAAGAAAAAGAATAAAAAAAAAAAAAGAAAGAAAAGAAAAAGAAAAAAAGAATAAAAAAGGATAACTTTGAGAAAAGAAGGTTAGACAGATGAATATGAACAGATATATATATATATATATATATATATATATATATATATGTGTGTGTGTGCGTGTTTGTGAGAGATCTGTTGCAAACTTAGGTAATTAATTCCCACTAAAGCCAGTGATTGGTGTTTTCGCTCAGATCAAAAGCCACTATTTTTAAGACCATTTTTACATTGTGCTAAGCAAAATTGACGGCCCTAGGTTGGAATTACGCATTAGGGACGTGAGAATCAAGTAAGGAATTGCAAAAAATACAACTATCTGGATAGAGTACAGATGATGGCGTGTGTATACAAGAAATTCAATGGTACATAGGAGTAGCGAAGAATGCTATTCAGATTAAGATACGAAGAGATCTAAAATAGTAAAGATGAAAATCTAGGTTACTATATAATGTCTACTCCCTTATGTGTCAATGAACAACTTCGTTACAATTGAAAAAATTAAGACATGCAACATGTGAGATGTGATTTCTACGGATAAATGTTGAGAATAACATGGACTGAGCATGTAACAAATAGGAAAATTCTAAGGCCAACAGAAGTTACAAAGAAACTGATAACATTTAGAAAGAGAGAGAGCCGGATTTTGAGGACACCTGAGAAAAGAAGGTCTGGAGACTGTAAAACATACAGGACACCTCGAAGGGAAATGAAGCAAAAGAAACTAGTAATATACTTGATAAGGTTAAGCAAATGTATGGAAGAACAAGAAACTAAGAGGAGGTTATAAAGGAGCCAGTATTGCTGTGAGCAACGAGACAGGAGGCTGTGGAGAGCCATGATCGCCTATAACATATTGAAATAGAGGACTTGCCATGCTTGAGCAAATGGAAAGAAGAAGTACCAAGACAAAGTGAAGGTCATAAAGGAGTAAGTATTGTTGAAAGCAACGAGACAGGAAGCTGTGAAGAGCCATGATCGCTTGTAACATTAAAATAGACTTGTCATGTTTGAGTAAATGGAATGAAGAAGTACCACAAAGGCAAGTATTGTTGAAAGCAACGAGACGGGAAGCTGTGAAAAGCCTTGTTCGCCTATAACATTGAAACAGAGAGAGGACTTGGCAAGTTTGAGCAGAAGGAAGAAGGAGCTCAAAGGCAGTGATGTTTACAAAGGAGCAAATATTGGCGAGAACAACGAAACGGGAAGCCGTGGAGGGCCATGATCGCGTATAACATTGAAATAGAGCGAGAACTTGGAATGTTTCAGCAAATGGAAAACGACAGGTGTTTAATCTCTTGGAAGCAAAAGTAAAGATTATAGCTCTGACTCATAATAGAATGTTGTTGTTCAGGAATTACAAACGTTCACTTTGAATGATAATCATTGTCAGAGTCGTTGGCGTGGGAAGCAAAACAAATCCATTAATTGCTTAAGTCAGTTTGACATAAGGCGAAATTCGAGAAAAAAAGTTTTGAAGAGGGTTAAGCAGAAAAGATTTTGCTTACCTTGAAAATCTCAACAAGAAATCCCGATTTTAAAGGCATTTGTACATCAACAAATGATCACGGTGAGAGAGCCAATAATTCCAGCCGCCTTTGTTTTTAATCATTTCACCTCAAGCAAGGCAATAAAGCCACTAAGACGCAAGGGAGCTGGGGGTTACTGCGTGTGAGAGAATATGAGAAAAAAACATTAAGGAGAAAGAACAGTAAAAGAACAGGAATTAAGACAGAAGATAACGATTGACATTGCATTTAAATTTTTGAAGATCAAATTTGACTGAAAAGCAAGAAGCTGCTAACAGTTTATTTGTGGGAAAGAGAAGTGCGAGAAAAGAAACAGTTAGCATAGAACTTACGGTTACATCGAGACAATTCAATTGTAAAATAATGCCGACAATCTATTATTGCTGGGTTTGGCTTAGTTTGATTTGTTTTACGGCATATGAACCTCAATGGGTTATTTAATGCCGACAATTTTTATTTCTGGTAATATTTTTTCTTCAAAAATGTATAGCTGGTAATAATTTTTTTTTTTTTTTACAAAGTATTTCTAGTATTAAAACCTAGTTTTACACTTTCATAGTGTTTTGACCCCAGCTTGGGGGGTCAAATATTTGCTCATAGCTGGGACTGTTCTAGTTCCACGTGCCATGTTTGATGGATGTCAGTTATCAGTTATCTTAACCAGGAATTGAACTCACCTTCTTTGGGTTTGTCACTGGATCTAACCAACGCCTTTATCCACTGTGCCATGTGTCCTTGAGGACATCTGTGTATGAACTTCTGAGTATTATAAACCTAATGTTTTTTTTTTTTATTCATTCTCAATAATACAGTATTTTTGCAATATATATATATATAATTATTAATAAAACAACGCTTTGAACTTTTTAAATAAATTAATTTTGTGACCCGGTGAATATACCTAAATTTCTAATTTGACCTATTAGGAAAAAAAAAAGGTTGGAATACCTGAAACAGTTTAACCCAAATCCATTTTTTTGCGGGGGTGGGGAGGAGAAAGAAATTCAGACATAACCAGAGTAACAATCTATTTAGCAAAAGACCAAACATCTAAATATTAACCTACATCATAAGTAATATCCGTTTTGGGAACGAATTATAAAAGAAAACGTATCTAATATCCTAACTACTAACATTACGTGTCAGTTAAGAAATTTGGTGGTTAGCATCAGCCATACTGATGGGTGGTAAAAAGTGTTCGCTCATGATTAGAAGAGATTCATTTTGGGGATGTTAAAATTAACAAGCCCGTCTTTGACACAGTTAACAATTTTTTTTAGATCAGCTGCCAAAAGAATAAATTTGAAGTACATTCATCAGTGGCAGTATACACACTATATTAAAGGAAAATTTTGTTCTCCCCCAAGAAAGCATATACTGGAAGAATAAATTCGGAAAAAAGATATATAAAGAATGGATTTATTTTTTTATTTCAACACTTATTACTTCAAGCTCCCATTTTTTTAAAAATAGTTTGTATTACTTTAACTTTAAGTGTACTTTATCACTAGAGTGAAGCATAAGAGTTCAGTTATGCTATCTATTGTTCCTTTATGCATACTTTCTAACTCAGACATTTTCCTTGAAGGAGAAAATCTGCAGAGTATTATCCGAAACGCAAACAAAGCAATTTCTAAAGAATTAATGGATTTATTTCTAATCCGACGTTTTTATTACGTCGACCGTGGATACTCGCATTTAAAATAGAGGCCAGATTTTTACTTTTACTATAAAAAAAAAAAAAAAAAAAAGTGTGCGTCACGTGTATCGGCTGGTGTATTCGAGAAATCTTACTGAAGAAAATGTGTTCCCGCTGAACTAAGACACACTGAAGTGGCACTTTGATGTGGTGTAATCGTTATCTTGCTTGTCTCGCTGGATCAATTACAGCTGAGTAGTGAGTTCGATCCTTACTGAGTGCTCTATAGTTTCGGCCTTGTGCCACATCTATGCTACGCATAGTAAATCGATATAAATTATAGGATCAGCAATTAAGCCCTGCCATGGATTTTCACTTTTTCCGTAAATACAAAAAAAGCTTTCACCCTGAGCAAGGCAATAAAGCCACTAAGACGCAATGGTGGTGGTGGGGGGGAAGGTTACTATTGTGACAGAATAGGAGTCAAAAAACAGAAAGAACAATAAAGAACAGGAATTAGGAAGACCGAAGATAAATGACATTACATTTAAAAAAAAAAAAAAAAAAAAAAAAAAAAAATCAATGTTGACTAAAAAGCAAGAAGCTGCTAACAGCTTCTTTTCTTGAACGTATATCTTGAGGAAATACGAGAAAAGCTAATAGCTTCTTGCTTTTCAGTCAACTTTGAAAGAAATAGTTAGCATAGAACTTATGGTTACCTCTAGCCATTTCAACTGTAAAATGATGAGACCTTGCCGCCAACCTAGTACTGCGCTCAAATTCATACTGTCTAGGTACCATAGAGGAAAGCTCGTTAGAACAATTACCATGAAAATATGTATAGAAAAGGCACGGGAAGCTATGTTATGATCATGGGAAAGTGGCTGAAGCCGAGATGCCAGACCAGAACCAGTAACATTGTATTTATATTGTAAGGTTTCACACGTCTACAAATTAGGCTGCTTATTATCAAGTAAAGGTGTCAATGAACTGTGGATCGGTCGTGATACTACCAGCCAACAAGCCTTGTGGCACAGCTTAATTTTACAGAGAATGAAAACTATGATAACGATTCGAAAATAGGACAAAACCCGAGGCACCTGCTATCTACAGCCAAAATAGTTCATAGATAACATCTCTGCCAGCGGCATAATCTCGTCCTCCATTTGGTCTTTTCTGGGATATCATCGAGGCCTTCTGTATATCCGCTCTGTACGTATATCCAATTCTAGCACGCGTGCATAAATAGATATATAGATATAATCTATTCTATCAAGTTATCTATCTAAACACAGAAAATATTTATATACAGGATGCAGTAGCGTGCAGAATGGTGGGCACAGAGGATGCGATGGCCCCGGGCATCCATATTTGGAGTTTAGATATTTAAAATCTCTTCCTTTCCTCGCGTTTTTTAATCTCTTCCTTTCCTCGCGTTTTAGATATTTAAAATCTCTTCCTTTCCTCGCGTTTTTAGATATTTAAAATCTCTTCCTTTCCTCGTTTTTTAGATATTTAAAATCTCTTCCTTTCCTCGCGTTTTTAGATATTTAAAATCTCTTCCTTTCCTCGCGTTTTTAGATATTTAAAATCTCTTCCTTTCCTCGCGTTTTTAGATATTTAAAATCTCTTCCTTTCCTCGCGTTTTTAGATATTTAAAATCTCTTCCTTTCCTCGCGTTTTTAGATATTTAAAATCTCTTCCTTTCCTCGCGTTTTTAGATATTTAAAATCTCTTCCTTTCCTCGCGTTTTTAGATATTTAAAATCTCTTCCTTTCCTCGCGTTTTTAGATATTTAAAATCTCTTCCTTTCCTCGCGTTTTTAGATATTTAAAATCTCTTCCTTCCTCGCGTTTTTAGATATTTAAAATCTCTTCTTCCTTTCCTCGCGTTTTTAGATATTTAAAATCTCTTCCTTTCCTCGCGTTTTTAGATATTTAAAATCTCTTCCTTTCCTCGCGTTTTTAGATATTTAAAATCTCTTCCTTTCCTCGCGTTTTTAGATATTTAAAATCTCTTCCTTTCCTCGCGTTTTTAGATATTTAAAATCTCTTCCTTTCCTCGCATCACTAAACCTCTGCACGTCATTGACAGGATGTCCGAGAAGTTACCTAGGGATTTAAAAATTTAGCAATTTCGTCTGTTTATATTTTTCAGAAACGGTTTTATACAGAAGTAAAATTCAAACAGTAGGAAGTGTATTCGCAGGTAATGAAAAATGGAAGATATTGATCTTCCATTTTCTACATAACACAGACACGTTCTTCCTATAGGTTTCTCTATAATAGGGTTTAATAACACAAGCTGCAACCTTCGAATTTCTGTACGGATGTCACCTTTGAGTTGCTGAATTATCAGTTTATTCAGGCATACACTCCACTTAACCCATTGCTTATCCTGCGCGAGATATGTAATGCACAGGACATTTGATTTCCATGTCCGTGTATCATATGTAGTACACATGAGCCATGATTTTAAAAGAGGGGTAAAACTGACGACGATTAATAAAAGAGTACTATTGAGCAGGACGTCTGAATAAACGCCTAATCTAATATTTTGTATATGACCACAGGACGATTGACTTATAATGTAAGGTCTCAAATGAAAGACATTTTTCCAATTTATTGAAATGATTGTAACCTGTGCATCACTTGCGATGAACAGGTTTTTATTATGTGAAACACTAAGCACATTCTATTTGCCAAATAAGCTTTGCTTTGTAATAGTTATAAATCTGAAAACAAGCATGCTTGTTTGGGTAGTACATACGAAAATATCCTGGACAGGCAAAGGGTTATGGTGGTCGAGTGATGTGATCAGGAGAACGTAGTGCCCATAAAATTTCAGAATTTCATGATATTCGGTAAGCAAAAGTTTCAATAAATGCAAAACAAAATTCCAAAATTTTGGCTTTGTTCAGTTACGAATTTTTTTCGGGGATAATTTCCCTGTATTAATCTAAGTTCTGAAAAAAAAGAAATAAAATTTATGAAAAATATTACGTTATGACATTTTTAAATAGTGATTTTCCGAGCGTAGCTCAGATGTGGCACAA